ATTTATAAAATAAAACTTATTTAATAATAAATTTAACCCGTGAAGTTAACTTGTGCCAATTTAGACATCTTTCCAAACATAATATAACTGGAAATTAACAAATGTCATTGTCATAAATGCAGTCTTCGCCCTTTTTGGTGTTATTCCTGGATGACAAATGTTGTGGAAAATTGAACAAATTTCACCCGTTTGTTATTCTTTAATCTTTCATTTAAGTCCGGCTACCTGCTTGAAAGCCAACAATCTGCATATCAATAGAAGTCATAGTGAGCCTGCAAGGTCTAGTTTAATACAAGGGAGGCGCAGTGCACAGTTGGAAAGCTTGGTGAAGGCAGGCTCCACTGCTTATATATATATATATATCCCATGATGTGCATAAATCTCTCAATATGTTTTCTTTTTTAAATGAGTTGTGTTTTCTTATGCAAGTGGAGTTGTTGGTTTGGCAAATGTGCTCTCGTAATGCCACACCATAATAATAAATAAAATGCTATCGTTTGGGTTTTTGTTTCTCTTTGGACTAATCTTTTTGCAAATTGTCCTTCCCTATTCAATATTGAGACCACTTTTCCATGCATTGGCATTTAAAAAAACAAAATCAATTTTCAGCAACTCCCGCACCACGTTTAGAATTTATATATCATTGTTACCCGTTTTTCACGACATATGTTTACCATCATTTATAAAAAAGAAAATTGCATTTGTCCCCAACGTGGCTTCGAGTGGATGCAACTAACTTCAAAAATCACAAAAATATATATTTAATTTTTTAAAAAATAATTATAATATCATATAATATTATAATAAAATTACAATTATAATTTATAAGAGTTATTATACAATTCACTCTTTTTACTTAAAAATTTATTAATAATATTATATAGTTAACTATTTAATAATACATTATAATTATATGTAATAATGTTATGTATCATTGTAATGTAATATTTAATCCCATGTAATTCTCCAAAATAAACTTATGTAGCTTTAAAATGTGTGTTTAACTACCTAACCGCTACGATCATTAAAATGTGCTTATGATCCCTTATAATTTGAAATATTTACACTCAATCCCTAAATATTTTTGAAATTTTGCCTTTAATGTTTTAAATTTGGGCTTTTGGGTCCAGCGCAAAAGGATAAAAGAAAACATAAGATTCATCATGGCCCTATAAATAAATTTTAGGGTGTCGTCGTCACGGTGTAGGCCTCTTCACGGCCGTAGTGATTAGTGGGCCTCACCCACCTTTTGAATAACCAATTTCGGGCCCATCAGCGTAAAATGTTAGAACCAATCAGAATCCATCTTCAACAACCTCTCCATGGACTCGTCCGCACCCAATCAAAAAGATTCAACTGCAGTGAGTTACTGCCGGACATTTAAGGCAAAACCACATGTTAAACCCCTAAACTAACCCCATATTCTCTATTGAGTTTTCAAACTTTAATTGATACATATAAGCCTCTAAACTTCACGATCTGAGCAATTTAACCCTTA